GTTTCCTGTGCTGTAAACCAGTGTTTACTAATAGATGTTTAAATAATATGTTTACAGCTGTCCATAGGAGCTGAGTCTGAATGCTTGAAATCTTCCTACCTGTTCCCTGTCTTATCTCCACCTTGACGTTTCCTGTGAGCCAGCGGTAACAGGGGAAAACCAATGCGTCCCCATCTAAATGCTCCACTGTGACATAGCAACAGAACCAGTTGTCTTCCACCCAGTACCTCTGTTTCTCCAGTCTGACCAGTAGCAGGGAGCCTAAAGGAGAAGGACTAGTCACCTTGTACTGGTCCACCTGGAGGAAGAAAAAAGAGAGAGGAGAAAGAAGTAATTGTTGCTAGATTTTGAAGTAGTTATACATACCACCATAGATACATGCTACTTTATTTAAACCAAAAAAATTGCTTATTGAAACATTCAAACATTCTACCCCAGGGCCCTCCTCACATTGGCACATTTGCATGTGTATTGCTTCCTCAAACTCAGGCCCTCTACCAGAGCACTGGGAGTTTGAGGGTTCTGCACAGTTGGTGATGATGGCTGAATAAAACAATTACTCAATGAGCCTCTGTTGTCTTTACCTGAATATATGAGTTTATAACAACATGGATCGGACGACAGAGAAGATTCTTGCTCTAACGTACATGCTAATAGTCAAAACAAAAAGCTTAAAGTACAGCAGTAGTTATACAGTTTTAGTAAGGGAACAAGGTAAGGGTTAGGCAAGTTGTAACTATGGTTTGGGTATGATTAGTGTCTCTACTACACATAGCAACAGTATATTTCTTGTAAGAGGTGTCTCTGACAAATTTAGGGAAATAAAAAAAAATAGATAACGCTAAAACTATGTTAGAATGCTCAAATCTCCCTTCAGATGGGATATTCACTTCGAGGAATAGTAGATGCATTTCCTTTAAGTGAACTATCATCCACTATGAAATGTAAATGCCAACTGGTAAGATGTAGAGATGGAAAATATCAACCATGTGACTAATTTTATACAGTTTAGGTTAAAGATTAATTTCCAGAATGAGTCGTTTGTTGGTAAATGTAAAGCAATCACAGAATGTTTTTATGACATGGAAGTGCATTCAGTGACCAGGGAGGGGACTTCCATTACAAACAGTGACTCAGTGATTTAGTACCAAAGATTCTTTTGGAACATTCTTGGGGGGTTGCAAGTCAGAGATTTAAAAATGTTAAAAAAGCAAAGAAATTATTGTGTATGTAATTGAGTCCAGCTTTATGAACTCTGAAAAATAAAGTTGAGATAAGTTGAGTCTTTCCAACCAGGCACTTCTTTCGCATAGGCATACTTACTGCTCCTCGACAGAAGTCCAGTCCGGGGTTATCAAGCAGGGTGCGTTCACTCTCCCCTTTCTCCCCCACCAGGGTAAGAAAGATGTAGTTGTTGGTACCTGAATACTCAGATGCACCAGTCGCTACTGTTACAGTGTAGACTTCCATCTGACATACACACATAGACCATGGTTAGGGTTCAGTAAGAAAATTGTGAGCTTGTTTTGCAAATAACAGTACTTCAACCTTTTAACCTTACAGTTAATGTCCTAATCGTAATGTAGCAATCTCCTTTCAAATTTTAAGGGAAGTCAAAGTGCCGGAGCATTACAAATAATATTTTAGACAGTAGCATGCTCATAAGACAAAAGACGGTAAGACAAGACTGTCCAGTTCCATCCCTACCACAGAGATGACCTTCCTCAATGGCTTACTGAGTTTGATTGTGCCACAGCTCCCTATGCCACCTCCCCAGCACACCACAGCAAAGATGATGACACTGGCCACAACAGACTGGTAAAACATCCGAGTGCACACATTAAAAAAAACCTGAGCCCCCTCAGAAGGAACATCCTGCTCTGTCCCTTCCTGACTAGTCTTTGTTTAGATGCACCCCCAGATGTTGAGCTGCAGAGGATTTATGCCGCACCACCCTAAAAAACTCCTGACCAGGTCTCCTTTCTCAACCTCTTTGTTATCTGTGATGCAGCTGATGATGGAGGAGTTCTCATGAAACTTTTGTAGGTGGCACTTTCCTTTGTTGTAGCTGAAGTCTGAGGTGTGAAGGGTGAATAGAAAAGGTGACAGGACAGCTCCCTGAGGTGTGCCAACAACCCTGTCTGACAAGCAGCCTGACGTCCTGTGGCCTGTCAGTGAGGTGGTCAATGATCCGTTTCATGAGGTCCCGTTTCACCTACATTACAGAGAGCTTCTGGGCCAGAGTGGCTGGACGGTGCCAAATGCACAGGAGAAGGGTGGTATGAGATGGAAAACTATGAGTGAAACTTTGTGGATTCTCTCCCCTTAACCTAACCCATCTCTATCAATTCTCTTTTAAATCTGGGTTCATCCGTTCAGCTGATTGTGAGCTTCACATTGCTGAGATGTTTTATGGTTTTTTTCAGCCAATCACATGCATCATTAACATATCAAATTTCTTATGAGTTTAGTTTTATTTATGTCTAGCATCTATGGTACATTTGAATCTAAATCTACTTTTTAAATAATAAACAAAGTTCCCAAAGCATTTTATTGTGACTAATAAAGCCAGAATCCATATATCTGTATTTTTTTTATTAGTAATGGTATTAAATCTTCCTGCGAATTCTAACTTCGAGGTGGTTTTGTCCAACCTGGACGTCATCATTAAGCCTTGGTAACATGTATTTAATTTAATGTGATATTTTTCTATTAATTTCTTTCATGCTTTTAATTAGTTTTAATTGTCGTTCTTTCATATGAAGTTTTTCTCCAGTTTCCACTTTCCAAATTTTGCTATTAAACATTTAAAAATCTATTTTTTCTGTCTTTCATTATTTGTGTGAGGGCAGTAATGTACTGATGTGAGCATGATGTTATACTAAAACTTTTGAATATGTAAACCTCAGTGATGCAAATAAGCTGATGAAACAACAGATACATTGGCCTGAAACAACCGGTATGACAGCCCTGGGGAAGTACGTGACTAAGACACGCATAATGAGACATGATGTGCCTCAAGTCACATCTATGCTCACATTAATGTGGCATATTCATGAGTTGTCCACACTGCAACATATATTTGCAGAATTTATCATGATATAGATGAGGATCAAGTTCAGGCCATGTTATGTATTTTGAGGTAAAACTTGTTGTGAGAGCCACTTCATACACATATTTGTTATTTGATACATACAATACATTATGTTGTCATTATTATGTTTGGTGCTGCTACAACATCTAATGTATATTTTATTGCGTTTGCTATTACTCTTAGTTTGAGTGCTAAGTATATACATTATGACCCTTTATGACAGGTGACTGTGAAGGACAGTTTTTTTAGTATGCATGAGTAAGTTAAGTTAAGGCACAATGTGGTGCTAGTACATATGAAAGACTCTCAAAAATTGTCCAGGACTTCCTCCATTGCTGCTATGGACCTGGAATAAGGGCCAGCCAGCCCACTTTTGCTCATTCTGCATGATACTTAAGGATTGCTAATTGCACCCGATGTACCTCAGCAAAAATGTGGGCTTGGAATGGTGGCTGCTATGTACTTAAGGACACAAGGATCCATCTCACGTTCCATTTCTGAAAATAAGGCCCTTCCACTCACCCGAGTCAATTTCCCATATATGTGCATATTATGCCCCTTTGTGCATTTGGAGACCAATACCTGACCAGTGTCAGCAAAAGAACAGGGTGTGGTGAGAGAATAAAATATATTAAATAGGTCCACTCCCTGAGCATATCCAGACGTGTCCCCATCTAAGCAGCTTGTTTTGACTTGAACCATTATTTCAAATGTTTAACAATTGATGCAAATATTGCATTGCAGCAAATATGCATTACATTTTATTAAGAGTAACTAATCATAGTGATATGAAGGACAGTATTCTCAGAAGACAACAAACAAGAGAAAAACTCTCACCTTAGTCCAGTGTGTATCACTGGGCACTTCTTTTCCTCAGGATTTCCTTTCGCTGTTTGTTTTCTTATACTTCCCACTTTTATCCACTCACCCCGTCTCTTATATCTTCTTTCCCTGTGTTAAGAGTTCTCACAAGTGTCTTCTTCCTGTTCAATTGTTACCTGGTCTAAGGTGTGTCTCAGTCAGTCCTCTATGTAGTTTACAAACAAGCATTAACACACGCACATGCATACACACACAATTTGCAAAAAGGGAAGTTGGGCAATTATATGGGCTCCAGTGTCAGATAACAGCCACATTGCAGAGCAGCATAAAAGCATAAGCTCTACAAATAAAGAAATAGGATTTAAAGAAATACATTAAGTGAATATATGTAAGCTGGAATCTGAAAAAAGATTGTCTTTAAGTAATTATTGGTCAGGATTATGGATTTCTTCCTGTTAATGTTCTACTTTGTGGTTTAATCCTGTTTCCCTTTCCTCGTTTGGTTCCTGGTCCGTAGCGAAGCTCCTTGTGATTCCCAGACTCCTGTTCTGCTGCCAATTCACTCACACACAAACTTAGTCAACAAATGAATGTCACCTCCTGCAGCTGTATAACAACTAGTTGTTCCATTCCTTTTTGGTAGAAACAGATCAGCCAACTTCTCTGCCCTTTGGTAGCCTGAATACTAAACTCTGAGTTCCTCCATTGAGAGAGCAGTCCACCATTGCTTCGGTCTAAACCTAAAATGGACCAGAACTCTGGAAACAGAAATACATTCCCTGTTTTAACTCTGGACTGAACATTCACTGTAAATTAACAACAACAACTGTTCACCACAGCGAGAGATTTTAGTCATGAAGTGTAGGCCATTCTATTTTCCTAGGGAATCTACCAACATCACTGTGGTGGACGTTTTGTTTAGCTTTATACTCTATCTTAGGATGGATGACGATAAAAGTAACTGACTTTGTAGGAATATGAACTATAGGTCATTGGTTTTTAAACATATTCTGCAGAGTTCTGATAGTGATAAATAAGCTCACCTCATTGGCTGAGAGGATTCATACTGATTACAGGGCAAATTGTCCCAAAAAGTCCCATTTTATAA